TAAAGTTTACCATTAAGGTTCAGTCTTTGTCTTCTATAGCCCTAAGAGTCTTGCCAAATGCTTAGTGGCATGTGTCCACCATTACACGATCATACAGAATAGTTTCAGAGCACTAAAATCCCCGTGTCCACTTCCATTGACCCCTCCTCTTACCCCCAGCCTCTGGCAATCACTAATCTTTTTTTTCTGTCTCCATAATTTTGCCTTTTCCAGAATATCATATAGTTTGAATCATACATTATGAAGTCTTTTCTGACTGACTGCTTTTTTAAAAAAAATTGCTCCGTGTCTTTTTGTGGCTTTAAAGCTCATGGCTTTTTATTGCTGAATAATATTGAATTGTATGGGTGTATCACAGTTTGTTTATTTATTCACCTATGAGGGACACCTTGGTTACTTCCAGTTTTTAGCAATTATGAATAAAGCTGGTATAGACGTTTATGTGCAGATTTTTGCATGGGCATGTGTTTTCAAGTCATTTGGGTAAATACCAAAGAGAAATTGCTGGGCTGTATGGTAAGACTATGTTTAGCTGTGTAAGAAACTGCAAACTGTCTTCCAAAGTGGCTGTCATGGTCTGCTTGGGCTACCATAATAAAATACCATAGACTGGGTGGCTAAACCACCAGACATATTTTTCACAGTTCTGGAGGCTTAGAAGTCCAAAAGCAGAGTGTCAGCAAATTCAGGTTTTGGTGAGTGCCTCTTCCTGGCTTGTAGACAGATGCCTTCTTGGTGAGGAAGCTCTGGTGTCTTCCCCTTCTTGTAGGGCACCATTCCCATCATAGGGGCCCCACCCCCACGATCTCAACTAAACCTAATTACCTCCCAAAGGCCCCCTCTTCCCAATAATCATCACATGAGGGATTAGTGCTCCACATAATTTTGGGAGGATGCAAACATTCAGTTCATTACAATAGTTGTACCATTTTGCTTTCCCATCAGCAATGAGCAAGAGTTCCTGTGGCTCCACATCCTTCCCAGCATTTGGTGTTGTCACTCACTGTTTTAGATTTTAGCCATTCTTAAGAGGCATGTAGTGGTATCCTGTTTTTTTGTTTGTTTGTTCGTTCTTTTTTTAATGAATCACAACCTCATGTCTATTTTCAGAATTAAACCTTTTCTCTTTTTTCTTTAGATTTTATTTACTTATTTTTAGAGAGGGAAGGGAGGGAGAAAGAGAGAGAAAAACATCAGTGTGCATTTGCTGGGGGCCATGGCCTGCAACCCAGGCACGTGCCCTGACTGGGAATCGAACCTGCGATGCTTTGGTTCGCAGCTTGCGCTCAATCAACTGAGCTACGCCAGCCAGGGTGGTATCCTGTTTTAAGATGCAACGTACTACTGATCTGTAATGTTAATTGTCATATGCTTATTTGCCATCTGTGTATCTTTGGTTTTTAGGTCTTCTTAAAGACTCCTTAAGTAGGCAGTTCTTTTAAGTATAATCCTTTGTTACTATTAAGCCCCATTGACATGGTGGTATAGATGGGGGAAAGGAAGTATTCCATAGCCCTCTGATTAGGTCTGTCTTTAGTGGACCTGTGATGGGATACTCCTTCCCCCATGTTGGTTAGGCTTTGGTAAAACCTCTTCAATAGGCTAGGCTGTAGTATAAATAGTTTTCCTTGTAAGCAGGTCTTAAGGAGAACAGCCAGCTCTTTTGAAAATACACTGAACTAATATATGAAAATTCTCTGAAATGGAAAAAGTATATTATGTTTGATTATAATAATAGTAATGATCACAAACATCAATAACAAGGCATATGAAAATGTTAATTTTAAATAACCTTTAAATTTATTCTTGTACTTTATGTTATGTATAGAAATATTCTTTTTGTAAATATATTTTATTGATTATGCTATTACAGTTATCTACCCAGTACCCCCATTCCCTCCAGCAACCTCCCACCTTAGTTCATGTGTATGGGTCATGTATATAAGTTGTTTGGCTTCTCCATTTCCTATACTGTTCTTAACATCCCCCTGTCTATTTTGTACCTACCAATTATACTTCTTAATCCCTGCACCTTCCCCACCTTTCCTTCTCCTGTAGCCCCTCCCAGCTGATAACCCTCCAAATGATCTCCATATCTATGATTCTGTTCCTGTTCTGGTTCTTTGCTTAGTTTGTTTTTTTAGATTCATTTGTCTATAGTTGTGAACTTGTTGCCATTTTAATGTTCATAATTTTGATCTTCTTTTTCTTAAATTAGTGCTTTTAACATTCATGTAATAATTGCTTGGTGATGATGAGCTCCTTTAGCTTTACCTTGTCTAGGAAGTACTTTATCTGCCCTTCAATTCTAAATGGTAGCTTTGCTGGAGAGAGTAATCTTGGATTTAGGTCCTTGCTTTTCATGACTTTGAATACCTCTTGACAGTCCCTTCTTGCCTGCAAGGTTTATTTTGAGAAATCAGCTTAAAGTCTTATGGGAACTCCTTTGTAGGTAACTCTCTGCTTTTCTCTTTCTGCTTTTAAGATTCTCTCTTTATCTTTAATCTTTGGCATTTTAATAATGATGTGTCTTGGTGTGGCCCTCTTTGGGTCCAGCTTGTTTGGGACTCTCTGTGTTTCCTGGACTTGTATGTGTATTTCCTTCACCAAATTAAGGAAGTTTTCTTTCATTATTTTTTCAAGTAAGTTTTCAGTTTCTTGCTGATCCTCTTCTCCTTCTGGAATCCCTATGATTTGGATGTTGGTACATTTGGAGATGTCCCAGAGGCTCCTTATATTATCCTCATTCTTTTTAATTCTTTTTTTTCTTCTTACTGTTCTGGTTGAATGCTTATTTCTTCCTCATGTTCCAAATCATTGATTTGAATCCCAGCTTCATCCCCTCCACTGCTGATTCCTTGTAGATTTTTCTTTATTTTACTTAGTGTAACCTTCATTTCTTCCTTTATGTTGTTGCCATACTCAATGAGTTCTTTGAGCATCCTGATCACCAGTGTTTTGAACTCTGCATTTGATAGGTTGGCTATCTCTTGTTTCATTTAGTTCTTTTGGAGGAATTTTGTTTTGTTCTTTCATTTGGCCTATATCTCTTTGTCTCCTCAATTTGGCAGGCTCCCTGTGTTTGTTTCTATGTATTAGGTAGAGCTGCTTTGACTCCTTGCCTGTTGTAGAAAAGGCACCTATAAATTGTGTGGGGCAGAGCTTTAAGTAATCACCAGGGTAAGGCAACTGGTGTTACTGCTTTGTTGCTCTATGGGGAGGGGACAGTGCCACTGCCTGGCTTTTGGAGGTTTTCCCATCACTCACCCTGTTTCCAGTCACTTCATTTACTCCCTGTAAGTGATTGGTGCCCTTCTGGCTGTTGCCCTGGTGCTGAATTCCAGAAGGGCTGGGTCTGTGTAGGTTCTAAGTCTGTGTGGGCCCTTTAAGCAGAATCTCCTAAAAATCTGGCAGTTTCTTCCACCACCCCAACCCCCACTGGTTTTTACAACCAAAAATCATGGGGATTTATCTTCCTGGCTCTGGAACCCTGGGCTGTGTGCCCTGGCCTGGGACTGGAATCACTTGCTCCCAAGGTATCCCTCCCAAATTTTATCCATGACATGTGAATATGGGACCACCTGTTCTGCCCCCATGGTCTCTCTGCACCTTTCCACCATATCTATGTCTTTGCACCTCCTACCTGTCTGGATAAATGTGGCTTCTTTAAATCCTTGGTTGTTGGACTTACATAAAGCTCGATTTTCTGACAGCTCTGGATGTTATTTATTTTTCAGGTTCATTTGTAATTCTGTGGTTGCACAAGGAGGTGAAGTGTGTTTACCTTTGCCTCCATCTTGACCAGAAATGTATAGAAATATTCTAAGTTAGATTTTTATAAATTAATTTCATTATCTGTTTCAAGTTAACATACAATGTGAAATAAAGAAAATTCTAAAAGAAGGGACAGACTTTGTCCTAGCAATAAAACATGCCTACCATAATTTTCAGTTTCATCAGGCTCAGTATAGCATGTAAAAATTAACTATAAATTCTGATATTTAATAACTAAAATAGATTCTATAGTGTTTGTAACTCTCAAAGATAATTTGTAGGCCTCCCAAACTAGATTCAGCTCCCTAAAAAAGTGTACAGTGAAATCATAACAAAATAACAAAAGCAAGAATATTATTTCCTTCTGAGTAGTATACTACTCAGGTGCCGCCTTTATTTAAGAACTTTTCCAGTTTCTTAAATAACATATACCTTACTACAACATGGTCTTTAATATGTAAAGTAAAGTTTAAGGATGTTGACTATCACATTTGGGTTCTCATTGCATTATGAAATTAATAAAACAGTAACATTAATGACGTATAGAAGTTGGATCCTGAAACTAATCTTCATCTACAAAAATTAGCATCTAATCTCTGTTGTAACTTTAAATTAAAATCCAGGTAAACACAGATTCTACTACTATCATAATAGGGAGTATAATAGCTATTTTTACCAAGAAAAAAAAAGACTAGAATTACCTGATTTTTTTTTTCTTAAAAAGATATAGCTACTTGGCTTATCATTGTAATCTTTAGGTGTCTCTGGAGTCATTTGCTCTGTCATGAAAGTAATGCAAGAGCCATTTGCTATAACAACAAGCTGTAAGTTTTGAGAACATTTTATGTCTAATTAAAAAAAAACCAATTACAAAAATCAGAACTTTGCCTAGCTGGCTATGTCCACTGGCTGTATGGTTATTCTCTGATTAGATACTTTGAGTACTAAACATCATCCTTATCTGGGAAAGAAGTGTTGATTTAGTAGCATATTATGATAGAAAAGATAAGGCTATGGCTATGGACTTGAGAGGCACATCAACCGAAATGTGAACTGCAGCTCTGTCACTTTTGTGCTAACATCTTGGGCACCTGTGTAAACACCTGTGTAAAGTGAAAATTATAATACTTCTCTAGAGTTACTGTGAATGAAAGCACCAGAGTCCTTGTTAAATGGTAGTTGTATGAGCAACACAATGTGATGATGATGTTTTGATACTCCTTTAGGTGAAATAAAGGACAAAAATGTTCAGGTGGTGGAGCTCCCGATTGTAGACAGTCTTCATCCTCGTCCTCCATATTTACCCCTGGCTGTACCAGAAGACCTTGCAGATCGACTTGTTCGAGTCCATGGTGATCCTGCAGTGTGGTGGGTGTCTCAGTTTGTCAAATACCTGATCCGCCCACAACCTTGGCTGGAAAAGGAAATAGAAGAGGCCACCAAGAAACTTGGCTTCAAACATCCAGTTATTGGGTAAGAATCTGATTCGTTCCTCATTAAGTGATATGGAGAAGCAAGGATATATATCTTTATAATATATTGTGAACTTTACAATGTATAGTTTAATTTCCATAGCTCTACCCCGAAACAGGATCTACAGTTCACCTTAGCCACAGGGAGATTATTATTTTTTCATTTACTTCGAATGGTTGGGTTATTATACTTTGTCACCCTTACTTTATTTATTCATTCAACAAATGTACCTAAGCCCCTATATCTGAAATTAGCTGTCTCCCCTGGGGAAACCAGCAAGATTTTATTTGATTGGGAGTATTTTGGATATTATACATGGCCCTGTCTTACCCTAACAGAGTCGTGAGATGAAGCTGTCAGATTTATAGCTTTTCAATTACACCTTATTCTTAAGTTTCATTAATTACTACTGGTGATTATTTTGCTTTTTTGGTATTCTGGGTGGGTTTTTTTTCTGTTCTGGAAGCTATTTTGAGAATAAGGTTATCATTTGTACTGTAAGGTAATGTTAAAATTATTTAAAATGATCTCTTGGCCCACTTGGGAGTTACAATATATATATGTATTCAGTCTGGTGCTTTTATGTTAAGGGAGATATATCGGGAAATCCTGGGAGCAAGAAATATAAAAAAAAAATCTTTGCTCACAATTTTGTGTTCCTATACACATACATAAAAAGTTATAGGAAAGGAGATTGCCTGGGTGCTGATGCCAGATTTTAGCACCAGGGGAAGTGTTCTTTGCCTAATGGAAAGAATACTGAACTGAGAGTTAAGCAACTTGGGTAATAGGCCTGACTTCCCCCTAATCCAAGTTACCTAATAGTAGTATTGGGCTTTGATTTTTCCATCTGTAAAACAGGGTAGGTAACACCTGCCCTGAAAATGAAGATGTGATAATATGAAGATTAAAAGAGGATTTTTGTTCTGTGGGAAAAAATGCACTATAAAATATTATCACATTTCATAAAGACTGATGCTTAAATAATTCCTGAAAATAGACTTGTAGACTAGACTATGGCTTTCTGTAATTTATATTGTTTGTGATAAAGTCAGTCATTGATTAATATTAATACAGCATTGATTCATCCACTTATTTTCAAAACATTTATTGAATACCTGCTACTGTGGGTGACAGAGATTAATGTTTTTTAAATGGCTTCCTCCAGCTCATTGTAGCCTGTGGGATTAAGAGACTTACATGACTAACATTATATGGGTAGAATGTGATAAATAACATGAGAGAAGCATTAGAAATATTATAAGAGGCTAGGGAACTGGGAAATATACTTCCATCTGGATTAGGAAAGGCTTCATAGACGATGGAGAAAGATAGCAGTATAGTATTTAAATTACCAAAATACTTTCAACTACATTATCTCATTGATCCTGTAACACAATCCTGTGAAGTGGGCAGAGATAATTATTTTACAGGTAAGGAAAGTAAGGAAAGAAAAGCTGTGCCCAAAGTTCTAGAACCTTCATAACTTTGGATTTCTTGTAGTTTTACATACTAGAAAGCAACCTTTATTAATTTTCCATGAGCCATCCACCATATTGAGAATTGGCCAAGAAGAGAAAATTGAAATAACACAGACAACTACCGTAGTGTCCTGTAAAGAAAGAGGAGTGTGCTAGGATTTAGGGGTCTGGAGGTCACATCTATGTCTGCCACTAACAATTATGTGACTTTGGGCAACTTACTTGCTCATTTGGGGCCTTTATTAATTGTCACCCTTTCCTCATTTGTTAAAAACAAAACACCAAATTAGATGGCTTTTAAGGTCTCTACTAACATAATACTGAACAGTTAGGTTTTTGTTATCTACCCATCATTCATTCATGTATTTATGCATTTCATTTGGTGAAATTGGGAATAAATAAAATCAGATCCCCTGAGCCAAAAGAGCTTGCTATCTAACAGTGAACATCAGTCAGGTACACAAATAACTTTTACTTTTGCGAAGACTGGGTTGAAATGCCTTGTGTTGTCTTTACTCACTGAAATGTCTTCAGAGGCATCAGTTTTCTTAACTGTCAGATAAAAGAGTTACATTAAATTAAATGACTTCTAATATCCTTCACAGCTCTAACATTCTGATTCTTCCACAGATTTCATTATGGTCCTCTGTCAAAGTATTGATCTATGCCTAATGTCAGGAGTACTTGGGAAAAAAATTGCTTAATGTAGTGTTCTGCCACTGTCTCAAATGCTCCTCTTCCTTTGATTCTTCTTTCTATTACATCTCTACTTTGTTTTTATTTTTATTTGCATAACTCCCACCCTTGCTTCTTCCCTTGTGTCTTAGTCTGCATATGTATGGAAGTTACTGCCCCCTGTTCCACATGTTCAAGCCAAAGAAAATACAAGGTGAAATCAATATCAAACAGTGTTTCCTCTCATGAAAAATTTCACTGAAATTCAGTGGAATTGTTCTTTTTCTTCCTCTTCATTTCTTTGGAGCACAGAGAACAATACCAATTTCCTGAGAGAAGCAGTGATTAAGAAGAATGTGAGAAGGAGAAGATGATAGTAGTGTTCATTTAATCATATTCACATCTAGACTATCGTTTGGAATGCAAAGGAAAGAATGGCCATGAAGGTGTCAGAGCAACTTTAGTGAAATCAAACTCCCACTCCAGATTCATAATACAAAGCTGGCCTTTGCTTGACCTAAAGGGAAACAAGTCTACCTTTTCTGTTTTCCCAAATATGAATAGTGGTTTAGTAATTTGGGAAGAGGAGGGATACAGAAAAGGCTAATTTCAGAGGAGTTGTAATTTGTAAAAACAAGCTATAATTACTATTGTTTTCATTTTCATTAAAATCACCTTGAAAGCAGTAAGATAGGAGAAGAATACTGTGGAAATCAGTGCCTTTTTCGGTGCAGGACAGTGTAAACCTCTGTGTCCCCAGTTTTATAATTTTGGAGCTTTCCTTAAATAGGAAAGATGAGATAGAGCAGTATCTGCTTGTGTTCGATAAGAGTGAAAAACAGTGAAGGGAAATTCATTATGCAAACAACGAGAGGGCTGTAATAGCTCCATAAATTTAAAAATAGTGAGGACCCTTGGAAGGTTTGTTGCTTTGACTGTGCTATGGGAACAGTGCATGCAAGGTCTGTGTTTTCTTCGAGCAACTTTCAATTCTGCAAGTTGGCAGTTACAGAGTGACCAACAGGGTAAAATGAAGAAAAAGAAAAGTTGGCATCGAAATGTTACAAACAATGTATTAATATTCTATAATAACAATTGTGAATCTTGATATCATTTGTTGTAAAAAATCTTGCAAGTTAATATCCAGTATTTTCTGAAAGGCTAATTGATATTTTGCTGCCCAGTGTGGAATATAACTGTGGAATCTCCCCCTTGTTCCTGATATGCCAATTACTTTTTTATAAGAATGCATTTTTGAAGGCTTTACTTATTTTTTAATTTCCTTTGTACTGTGTTAACATACAGATATATTTAGGGTATATGTGTTTGAATTTTTTAATTTTTTAATGGTGAGAAAGGAAATAAAAATCAGTTTAAAATGTTCATAATGCTATCATGAATAGGAGTGTAAAGCTGAGTACCCTAAGAGCACCCAGTGAATCAGAATATTATCACAGAATCTGACTCTATTCCTCTGTCCCCCCAGAGTTCATGTCAGACGCACAGACAAAGTGGGAACAGAAGCTGCCTTCCATCCCATTGAGGAGTACATGGTGCATGTTGAAGAACATTTTCATCTTCTCGCTCGCAGGATGCAAGTGGATAAAAAAAGAGTATATTTGGCCACAGATGACCCTTCTTTATTAAAGGAGGCAAAAACAAAGTAAGTTAGATGAAGCAGTGATTCTAGAGTGGAACTCTTCAGTTGAAAGGAATCCTTAATTCCCATGGCTTGTGGTTCTTGTTATAATATTATTACTAACTATTGGGTTTTTTTTAATTCAAACAACTGTGTACTTGTATAACTTGTTAATATAATCAAAGCAATTGTGAGCTGCAAGTCAAGTGTAGATTTCATTTGGAAGCCCTTTTTCTTGGATTGAAAGCAGCTGCCATCTCGCTTTGTATTCACATGACCTCTTTGTGTGCTTAGAAGAGGGAGCAAACTTTCTGGAGTCTCTTCTTGTAAAGACACTAACTCTATTTTGAGGACCCCACCCTCATGCCCTTATTAATGACCTCTCCAAGGCTCTGTCTTCAGATACCATTGCATTGGGGGGTTAAGGCTTAAATACAAATTCTGGGGTGATGCACACATTCAGTCTATAACCCTGACCAACTACACAGGACTGTTAGCAGTAACACACCAAGTACTTACCCCTTTGCTCTGATTCTTCACTAACAATTACAGGCAACTGAAAACATATGTAAGATAAAAGTTTCATCTTATAAACGTTTCTAGAATTTGTAAGTTTTATTAAAATACATAAAGAATCAACCCTGGCTGGTGTAGCTCAGTGGATTGAGCACAGACTGTGAACCAAAGGGTTGCCAATTTGATTCCCAGTCAGGGCACATGCTTGGGTTGCAGGCCAGGTCCCCAGTGGTGGGCCATGTGAGAGGCAACCACACAATGATGTTTCTTGTCCTCTCTTTCTCCCTCCTTTCCCCTCTTTCTAAAAATAAATAAATAAGATCTTAAAAAAAAACCATAAAGAATCAAAAGATAAGTTCTGTAAGCACAGGAAAAGGACTACTAATGTGTATTAAATAGTGACCATCATTTATTGGACCTGCCTATATTTCAGGCACTGTGCTAGGTGCTAGGTAAGCAAGACACTCTCTGCTTTCAAGGGATTTCTAATGGGGTATGGGGGTGGCAGGGTTGGGGGACAGAGAAGTAGTCTACAGTATGAGTTAGGGCTGTTATAGAATTAACATTGGGTGCTCTAAAAACTCATGAAACACTGATCCTAATTGGGAATTTATCATAGGATCTGGATAAACCTAGAGTTGGCCTTTATTTAGTACCAATAAATAAAGGACGTATTAAATATTTGTGAAAGTAGGGAATGGGGGAGAAGAAAACTGTAGTTGCAGCTCTGCTCAGATACCATCTATTCCAGAAAGCATCCCCAAGCGCTGGACTATGTTCCTGCTGAATTATGTTTACTTCGGTCCCATCTGTTTGAAAGCATTTTATTAATCATTTAAGCTATTTGACTTTTCAATTTATTTATTTAAGTCTTGGTCCCTTTTATATGTCACAAATGGGGGTTGGGAAGAAAAACAAATTAAGAATGAAGGCTATATGCAGGAGTTTCTCCAGATCATTGGATAATAATTTAAATCTTGTGTCTCCGAAGAATTCATATTAATCTGATATACCATAAGTTGCTTTTTTTCTTAAGTCGCTATTGAACACACACAAACATACAAACAAGAACCAAGAAATTCACCAGCCAAGAATAAGCCAACTTATACAGTTATAATTCTTAAGTAAGGATTGAGGATTAAGTGAACATTTGGGCACAAAATAGAATAAAAACATTCACAAGTACTTTTCCAGTTTGATATCTAGACCTATTAGAGAAATGTAGAAATTGTTCACCACACTTTTTCATTTTAAAATACCAGACTGAATTTGTAGCTTGGTTGAAAAAATATTAAAACACTAATTTTATCTACTCTTATTTGTTCTCAAATGCATTGTAAGCTTTTTTCCTTTTTCTTTTTTCCTTGATTAGCAAAATAATTCATGCTCATTAGAAAATATGGAAGTTGGTAATTATATAGGCAAGGAAAAAATATTACCCACAGTCCTATTACTCAGTGGCTTTAACTTTTTTAATTTTGACATATTTCTTTCAATCACTTACATAGTTACACATTTTAGTAGTTTATCTTATTCTGTATAACATGAACTCTTTGGATTAATATAGCAGTAGGTCTGTTTTCCCAGGCCACTTAAAAAATCATTATAAGCATCTTTTTTAATAACTAGCCACTGTGTGGATATTCCACTGCATACCTGACCATTCTCCCAATATTGGATAGTTATTTATAATTTTTTAATCTTATAAACAATTCACCGACATGTGCCTAAAATTATCCCCATTATTTCCTTAAGCTATATTCCTGGGCATGGAAGTATTTAGATAAAAATATCTGAGGTGCTTACAGCTTTGATCTATAACACAGTATTATATTTTTACACCAAGCAACCCTTGTAGTATATGTGGCAGTACTTGGTTATGGGATTAATAAAACTTGAATTTCCTTTTTGTGGTCAATAGCTGGTAACTCCTTTCCCCATGGTAGTCTAAGCAGTAGTTTCTTTCATATTCTATTATCTATTCTATTCTATTTCTATTCTATTCTATTCTATTCTATTCTATTACATATTCTATTATAAAGGTAGTATTTATGCATAATTTTCCTCTCTGACAATTCCTTAATTTTAATTTTCTGAATCATGAAGAGGAGTAGCTCCCTCAGTCTGGAGAAGGACTTCAGAAAACTTGCTGTTGGTCTTTAATTTCAGGGTAGTCCTTTGTGGGTAATACAAACATAAATTTGTATAAGGTAGAAAAAGAAAAATGTTTTTTATTATTGCCAATCTCTGCAACTTCAAAATGGAAGATTTCCTCTGCTGATAAACTTGTGGACAAAAGACAAAAAAGAAGCATGTTTGTACAGAAAGTTCCATGCTCATTATTGGAGGTGCAAACTCTCGCTCTCCCATTATTCACTTTGTTTCTTGACTTTCCCACTCTAAGTGTCCTTCATCAAGTCATCTTTTGCTTATAGAGATAAGGCCTGAGGAACTTAGGTGTCTTTTTGGTTTGGTTTCAGGGAGGGTCCTTTAAGTTAAGAAGGGCATTAATGTTAGTGTCACTTCTCAGTAAAAGGATCACTCTTTTCTGTGTTTCACTGAGCACCCAAACCACGCTGACAAAAGCAGTCTTTAATCAAGGATAAAACCTTTACTCTTGTGTTTTAGCAATTCCCCTTCTCCTCGACCCTCCAGCGTTTTTATATTTGTTTATTGCTGTTTCTGCTCCATGCCTGGGTATGCAGCTTTGCAGGAATCACATTAAAAGTCTTTTTTGTTTGTTTTCTTTTTAGAACAAATGTGACATTTCCTTCATTTCCCTGATTCGGAGCTGAGAAGGGCAAAATGTCAAAAATAATGAGGCCAAATGGATCTGAACACTGAATACCAGTCTGAAACAGTACTCAGAACTTTAGCTTCACGGTCATTATTAGAGGCAATGAAAGAAAGCCCCATGGTGGCTGTGAAATGAAGAGAAATCTGAAGCAGCTCTTAGGGGATTAGGAAGAGGTCCCAGACACAGATAGTACTCACTCGTGCCTGTGTTTATACACATAGCATTGTGTGGGATGCAAGGTACTGCGATGCAAAGAAAAATAAGGCTTAGTCCCAGTTTGGGGGCAAAACTATGTGGGAGACAGACAGGTAAACTGACTCCTAATGTTTCAGGATTTATAAATAGGAAATATTTTTCCTTCAACAAATACTTACTGATCCTCCATATCCCAGATTCTCTTTCTGAGAATAAGGTTGTAAAGGTTCTGAGAATAAGAGTGTAAACAAAACAGGTGAAATGCCCGTTGTCAGTTAGGGATGATGAAGGTGGCGAATGAATGAATGCAGACAGTAAATAAACAGTAAATATATATTGTGTCAAATAATAAAAGAACTATGGAGAAAAATTAAGCAGATAAAAGGGATACAGACTGCTAAAGACCTTACTAATGAGGCTATATTTGAGCAGAGATCTAAAGGAAGTTAAACAATAAAACCAGATGGATGCCTGGGGAAAAATGTTTCATAGTCACAGACAATATTCACTGAGCATGTACTACATGTCAGATACTCTTCTGAGTACTTCTAATTGCTTAATGTGTTTAATGCTTATGAATTATATAAAGTAGGTACAATTGTTATCTACTTTTCAAGTAGCTTCCCAAAGCTTGCCTTTTAACTCTGAAGATGTCTCATGCACTGAGAAAATTGATTCACTCTTGAGTATAATTAAACTTCTAACTCAGAATAGAATCATTTGAACATATGGTAGAGTTTTTAAAGACATCCTGTTTTAATAGTTTTAAATATCCTTTCTCAGGACTACCAAAATGTTACTTGGGTGGACATCTACAAGGAATTGCCTTCATAAGTGTATTGGAATGGTTTCGCATTACCAGTATTGGTTAAGATGGCACTTCAAGGATGGTGGTTAGGATGGAGGTTAGGGGACAAGTCTGAAATATCACAAATTCTGAATTAAAAATTTAAATGAAGTTTAATCATGACACTTATATTCTAAAGGAAAAGCTCAGTGATCAAATATGAAAGCAACTTGAAAAACCTCTTAGAGGTCACTCATTACCAAGAAAATAGGAACCTTCTGTTTTGAGCTCTCATGAACTGAGAAGGGATATTTTGATGCATCGAGGTTATTTTATATGCATGCCAATGACATTTAGCACACAGGACACTCCTGAATGGTTTCTGTCCCACTGTTGGATTCGAAGATGCTTCGTTGACTACTTTCTTGAATGTTACAACTTTTTAAAGATCTGTTTACTGTTAGAAGGAGAGGAACTCTTGGTCAAAGGAGCCAATTTGCTTCCTGCTGATAGGATACTTCCTCCTAATAGAATACTGTGATTCCAGTAACCATGTATAAATTCATTTCTTTTTCAGGTACCCCAGTTATGAATTTATCAGTGATAATTCTATCTCTTGGTCAGCTGGACTGCATAATCGATATACAGAAAATTCACTTCGGGGTGTGATTCTGGACATACACTTTCTATCCCAGGCAGACTTCCTGGTGTGCACTTTTTCCTCCCAGGTAAGTGACAACAGGGTATTTTTAAGTGGCCAGTACTTTTTGGTCATATGGGGTCAGGAAGTTCTTGTTTTTTGTGTGGTTTTTTAAATGTTAATTATCATGATTCAGGTGAAGTTTTCCTAATATTTGGGAATGATCCCTCTTGTGTAAGTATGAGAAGGTTTCCCAAAAAATAGCTATTTAAGTACACTGAATATTTAGTTATTTGGAAGCAACGGTTGAATACATCTCTGCTGAAGCCAGCTATTGGAGTTGTTTAAAGTGCTTGGCTTGTTCATGGCATTTAACAGAAACAGCAAGTAATTAAGCTTACTTAATACCTTCTGATTTTGCATCAGTCAGTATTTAACCAGAATCCATCCATTTCTACACATCGATGCACTCATATTGAGAGGCTTAAATGTCCAGCATTTTGCTTTACTTGATTGCTTTTAGAAAATAAGAAAGAGTAAGTGTAATTCCTCTTCAAGTCCTATTACATTTCTATGTTAAATTTAAGCAATATTGTACTACATTCATTCTTTGAGTTTAATTGTTGCAGACAATTATGTGTTGTGGGTTTGGTGTGTGTGTGTTTTTAGAGTGGTCCAGGCAGCTTTATAAGTCCCAGTGGAATATCTGCATAGTAATATTTATTGTGGATTTTATTCTGCTCTTTCATTTATGTGCATGTTATTGGCTAGTTTATTCAACAGTCTGTTAAATGACTTTTTGTGCTCAGAATTATAGTAGGTGCAGAGGGAATGTCAAAGAAGATAAAGATACAGATCTTACCCTGGTCCAGAATCTAGTAAGCAAACACTCACATGAAAAAACTACCAAGAAATATAAATTGTGTAAGAATAATATATTCCTAAAAGCTTAGAAGGAGTTGAGAAAAAATGTGAAAAGGAAAGCCACATTAGTCTCATGAGAATATACTTCAGAGAGTATAAAGAAATAGACAGTGTCTATCAAGTGGCAGTGCACATTGTCACAGTGGGATGGCGATGTGATTGTCGGAAAGACCTACCGCAGCAGAGGCTGTATGAGTTTCTCTCATATGGAATAAGAATACAACTTACTGCCCCAAAAAAGACAGGTATGCAGAACAGGAGCCCCATAGGCAGCAATCCTAGTCAGAAGGGAAAACTTACTTGGCCTCCAGATTCCCATGTAGGCATCCACTGCTGATGTTTCTTCATAATTAGGGTCATAATTAGGATCTTCATAATTAGGATCTCTTTTCCATTCTCAAGGGTGAAGGTGGGTGATTATAACTGCTTGGTGTCTCTCAACTGTTTTTGACAATTTGGCTGTGTGTCTGCATGATTAACAGGTGCAAATAACTAGTAACAACCTCTACACATTTTGTAATGCATATTGTTAGAATGAGTAAGTTAAGAGTCACTTCCCCATATCTACCACCTCCTCTGTGGGCCTAGACTGTGCGCCTGCCTGAAGTTTGTTCTTCTAATTGAAGGTTTCTCAGCCTAGGCGCCATTGGCATTTGGGGCCAGATGAATTGTTATGAGGCACTGTCAGATACTTAATAGCATCCCTGGCCAATAGCATCCTTACCTCAGGTTGTGACCATTAAAAATGTCTCCAGACATTACCAAATGCCCCATACAGGCAAAATCATCCTTGTTGAGGACCACTGATCTAGTCATAAAAGCTCTAAAATTTAAATAAAGTAAATTAACCTCTAAAATTAAATAAATAAGCCGAATAAAGTATCCCCCTGTGCTACTTCACTTTATGGCTTAAAATACATTCTGTGGTACTCTTCATTGTCTAATTCCAAATTCACACACAGTATCACTGGCCTCACTACACTTTCACTCAGATTTTGGAAAGTGTAGTGGAAAAAAAACAGATAATGCACTTATTCCAGACAGATGGCCCTGGATTGGAATTCCCATCGAGGTGTGGCTCAGGAAACAACAGTGGGTACTGCTTTCTCGCTGAAGAGCAAAACAAAATAGTTTACAGATATCCCAGCATCACCCAGTGAGATACGAACCCACTTCCACTTAGGAGATCCACACTAGGATCTCCACACTAGGAGATCCTCCTGGCCCTGTCTGTTTTCACAAAAATACAAGATCCCATCTGCTCTGAGAAAGCTTTGGAGCTCACGCAAACCCAGCTGTTTGCTCCTCAGGGATAAAATTCTGAGCCCGCAGCCTTGGTATGTCCACACGGTACTCCAACCAACTGAGCTCCCTGGCCAGCTCTGGAAAAGTTTTCTAAGCAAAACAATAATATTCTCTCTTTCTTCACCTATTCTTAGAAGAGTTTCAGAAATCTATTTATGCTATAATAAATGTATTCCTCAATTGCTTAAAATGTTATACCTCCCTGAGGATAGTTACAGTTTATCTTAATCCCAAGCATTAAGCTCAAGAAATAAAACTCAGATTATAGAATTTTAGCTGCCATCCACCCAGTGGGCATGGTAGGTATTCTTCTGACAGAGGAGTCTTTTTTTTTTATGACTCACTATGTTTTCTTTATTTGAGACATGTAAACTGTACAACACAAATGTTTTTGGTTGGCAAGCTGGTGCTCAGTCCACTGAGCCACACCAGCCAGGGCACAAATTTATTTTTTTCTTTTTTGAATTTAATTTTTTAAGTATATTTTATTCATTATGCTATTATAGTTACCCCATTTTTTTCTCCCCTTTATCCCCCTCCACCGTGCACCCCCTCTCATACCAGCATTCCTCCTCTTTTAGTTCATGTCCATGGGTCGTACATGTAAGTACTTTGGCTTCTCCATTTCCTAAACTATTCTTAACTCCCTCCTGTTTATTTTGTACTTATCAATTATGCTTCTTATTCCCTGTACCTTTTCCGCCATTCTGCCCTCTCCACCTCCCCACTGATAACCCTCTATGTGATCCCCATTTCTGTGATTCTGTTTCTGTTCTAGTTGTTTGCTTAGTTTGTTTTTAGTTTTTGTTTTTTAGGCTCAGTTGTTGCTAGTTGTAAGTTTGTTGTCATTTTACTGTTCATAGTTTTTGATCTTCTTCTTTTTCTTAGATAAGTCCCTTTAACATTTCATATAAATAAGGGCTTGGTGATAATGAACTCTTTTAACTTGACATTACCTGGGAAGCATTTTAATCTGCCCTTCTATTCTAAATGGTAACTTTTCTGGGTAGAGTAATCTTGGATATAGGTCCTTATCTTTAATGACTTTGAATACTTCTTTCCAGGCCCTTCTTGCCTGCAAGGTTTCTTTTGAGAAATCAGTGGATAGTTTTATGGGAATACATTTATAAGTAACTCCTTTTCTCTTGCTTCTTTTAAGATTCTTTCCTTGTCTTTAATCTTGGGTAATTTAATTATGATGTGTCTTGGTCCAATTTCTTAGGGATTCTCTGAGCTTCCTGGATTTCCTGGAAGTCTATTTCCTTTGCCAGGTTGGGGAAGTTCTCCATTATTTTTTTCAAATAAGTTTTCAATTTCTTGCTCTTCCTCTTCTCCTTCTGGCATGGCACCCATATGATTCTGATGTTGGAATGTTTAAAATTGTCCCAGAGGTTCCTAAGCCTTTCCTCATTTTTTTGAATTCGTGTTTCTTCATTCTGTTTTGGTCGAATGTTGATTTCTTCCTTCTGGTGGAAACTACTGATTTGAGTCCCTGTTTCCTTCTCTTCGCTGTTGGTTCCCTGTATGTTTTTCTTTATTTTACTTTTCATAGCCCTTACTTCTTCCTCTATTTTGTGTCCATACTCAACCATTTCTGTGAGCACACCCTGATTACCAATGTTTTGAACTCTGCATCTGATAGATTGGCTATCTCCTTGTCATTTAGTTCTTTTTCTGGAACTTTGATCTGTTCTTCGATTTGGGCCATATTTCCTTGTCTCGGCACAGCTGTTATGTTGTAAGGGGCAGAGACTTATGTGTCCGCCAGGGTGGGGCAACCTATGTCACTGTACTGCGTTGTGGCACTGTGTGGGGGAGGGGTCAGAGAGGGAACAATGCTGCTTGCTCAGCTCTTGCCCCACTTTCAGTCTCTTCCTCTGCAACCCACAAGCAAATCGGTCCCTTCTGGTGCTGATTCCCAGGTGGGTGGTCTTGTGTACATTCTGGGACCCTGTGGGTCTCTCCAGCGACCTCTTCTGGAAGGCTGGGAGTTTCTCCTGCCACTGCAATTCCCAAAGATCTTCACAGAGTTTTTGAGGCTTTATTTTTCTGTGCTGGAACCCTGGATTGCAAGGTCTGTCTCACTCCCCAGTTTTCCTCCTGGTTTATCTATGCCCGAATGTGGGACCACCCATTCCACCAGCCACCACCTCACCCACCCAGTCTGTTGCCTTGCCACGTGTCCTCTCTGCCCCTCCTGCCAGTCTGGATGAGTGTTTCTTCTTTAACTCCTTGGTTGTCAGACTTACATACAGTTTGATTTTCTGGCAGTTCTTGTTGTTTTAGTTTTTAAATGTGTTATTCTTCTTTTGGTTGTGCAAGGAATCAAGCATATCTACCTATGCCTCCATCTTGGGCAGAAGTTCCTTGACAGAGAAATCTATTAAGTAACCTTAAATGTATCAGGTAGATGCATCTTCGCCAAAGACTGGTCCATCTTATTTCAGTCCTAGAATGCTGCTATCTACATAGCACACTTTAGACTCTTTAGAATATAGCCATAGCCAGTGTGGTGGGAGTGTTGTTTTGCAAACCAAAAGGTCGCCAGTGTGACTCCCCATCAGGGCATATGCCTGGGTTGTGGGTTTGATCCCCCAGTCAGGGCACCCGCAGGAGGCAACCGATAGATGTTTCTCTCTTTCTGTTTCCCTCTCTCTCTCCTCCCCCACACTTTCCCCTCTCTCTTGAATGAGAATAAAATAAACCTTTAAAAAAACCTCTTTAGAATAGAAATGGTAGATATGTTTTACCACACTTGCCAGTGCTAATCGATTGTCAGTAATTACATAAGTTTCTATTAAGAAGAGTTCTGAGACCAAGTCCAAATTAGCAGAAAAGAGTATGTAATTGATTAACTGAATGAAGGAAAGGGAGCAGCAGCATTTTTGCAAAGTATTTATAGTCCTAATTCTAAACCTTAAATTCTTCATGGGCATAATTTATGTCTTATTCATTTTTGTGCCACCAGAGCCCAACATGGAGTACTGTGTGGCTCTTAATAAATGTTTATTAAAATTAGCTTGATTCATATTCTTAAAGTGCTTTGCACTATATATTTTTTCTCTCAGGCCTTAATTGTAATAATTTTTTATATATAAAAGATAAGCACAGAGATAAAAAAAAGACATACTACCCCATCATTGGAGAGCATATGGACTGAAAACTTGCAACTAGAATCCACTACTTCTCATTCTCTCAGTCCTAGTCCTGGTCTAGTTCTAGTCTCTTTGTCCAAGGGCTTTTAGATTGCTATGAAGGAGATCTTACGTATACTAATGATTTTTTTTCATTCTTTCCCAAGGTCTGTCGAGTTGCTTATGAAATCATGCAAACATTGCATCCTGATGCCTCGGCAAACTTCCATTCTTTGGATGACATCTACTATTTTGGGGGTCAGAATGCCCACAACCAGATTGCTATTTATCCTCACCAACCTCGAACTGCGGATGAAATTCCTATGGAGCCTGGAGACGTCATTGGTGTGGCTGGAAATCACTGGGATGGCTATTCCAAAGGTGTCAACAGGAAACTGGGAAGGACGGGCCTATATCCCTCCTACAAAGTCCGAGAGAAAATAGAAACAGTCAAGTACCCCACATATCCTGAGGCCGAGAAATAGAGCTTAAGATGGATGGGAAGGACAACCAAACTCAGTTCAAAACATTTGAGCCGAACAGTAGATGAAGAAGGTCCTGGCTAACAACACGTGGTTGTATGTGCAGACACCCTCAGCACCGGGAGCACCTTAGGACTGACAGATGCTTCATGGGTGGAATTCCTCTCCAACAAGGGCTACGATGCCCAGAACCCAAGGACGACGGTCCAATAGTGTACTCACATATAACATGAAAACAGGTTGTTTTCTACTTTGCGCCTTCTTTCAAGATTGTGTCTCCATGAAAAAAACACTGCCACATTGTGTAATTTAAGTGACACAGATGTTTTGTGTGAGACTTCAAACATGGTGCCTATATCTGAGAGACCTCTGAGACCTAATGAGAAAATCTGAATAGCTCCCTGTGGTGGGGAGGTTAATTATTTGCCAGTGGTGGTATTGTAACCACTGAATCCACTCCAATCAGCAGATTCAGAATGAGAATGGATGTTTTTGTCTGGAATTTTTTTTAAGTAATTGCATCAGTTCATCCACCTCATCTTTAGTAAGTGAAGGAGGTACATCAAAATAAAATATTCACACTCCATTGGGAACTTTTGTAAAATGATGCCATGAACAGATTCTTTAGTATTCTGTGTTTGGACATTCTCTTTGATAACAAAAAATAAATTTTAAAAAGAGGAATTTTGTAAAGTTTCTAGAATTTTAAATAATTGAATAATGTTGTGGGCAGCTTTATAGTTGAAAAACTATGATAAAAAGAGGAGTTTTATAATTTTTTTTTGCTTTTTTTTCTGTTTCTGGTCAAGTAATCAGATCTGAGCTCAAGAGTCATTGCTCCGTTTCAACACTGAAAACTGAGTTTAGTTGGTGCATATTACAGGGTTGCTAAGGATGCTCTGGGAGGTTTTACTCTCTTATTTTGTTTGGATATTGTTTGTTTGTTTTTATTGATTTAAATAATTATACTCCTTGCCCTCAGAGAAACTATCACCTTTATTCTAAAACCAATAGTTTCAGACCTGTTGGGAACCTTTCTTATTATAGCTATTGCCACTTTTTTGTGAGTTTTGTGTCCTTTTGTTTTATCCAGGAACCAGTTTTTCCCTTTTCTATCATATCCTGCTTTTGAGAGTACCAGGAATTTGGGGGTTGGGAAGCTGGCTGTTTCTGAAAATCAGTCTCACTGAATATAGAATTCAGTAAACAAAGGAGAGAAGAACCAGTGTGAGACCCAAAATGGATTTAGGGTTATCTTTTCCAAGTACTTCCTTTTAGTAATTCCACGTTAAAGTCACTTCAGAAGACAAGGCTTTGATGTTCTCCATGCTTCCTCTCTCAAAGTCACTTTTTTCTTTATAAAAACACTTTTCTATTTTCTGTGGCCTGCCTCCTTTAGATGCTGGCAGGAGCATTACAGAGCATGTGCTCTGCCTTCTGAAAGAAAAAAAACTTGACCCGTGTAAGAACCAGTAGCAGGCCTGGCATTGAACATTCGGAATCCCAGACAGAAAATCTCTGTCCTTGACATCCTCACCAAACGAAAATACCTGTGCGCAAAATTTCCCCACCAAACTTCCCTCAGTTTTTTTATTCCTCTCCAGTCACGTCTCCCAAAGAGCAAAAACTACCTATAGTGTCAGTAAGCAATTTTCAATTTAGTTTTGGTACAAATAAAAGTCACTTGAAACAAAGATCTCCAGCTGAGCTGGAGTACTTTTGAATGTGAGTTGTTTTCTTATTACCATCTCGCTCACCATTGGAGCATAAATAACCGTGGTTACTGGTAGTAACTGCTTTATATTTCTCTGTAGCATTCCTGTTTTTATTCATTAGAAACATGTTTTTTTTTACTTCATTGAACATAGTTATAATAACTTTTTTTTTCTTTTCTGCTAAATCCAACATATAAATCATCTCAGAGTTGGACTTCTTTGTTTATGTTTTCTCCAGAGAAAGAGTCCTATTTTTCTGGTTCTTCAAATGTTGAGTAATTTTAGACTGTATCCTGAATGTTGTACACGATTATGTTGTGCATTCTGTTGTATTTCTCCGAAGAGTACTGACTTTTTTTGTTTGTTCGTTTGTTAGCAGGCATTTAACTTCATTGAACTCAGACTGTAAACTATGTCTTGGGTAGCAGCTCAGATCTCAATTTAATGATTTTATCTTTAGCTGAAGCCTCTCTCACACATGTCTGGTTGTATGGTTCAGGGGTCAGCTAGAGATGTGGGTAGAGTTTATACACAGAATTTGGTCTCTTTCTTCTGAGATTACTCCCCTCCCTTTCCAGAAGCTGTGATTGCTCTGATTCTTCAACCAGAAAGGCTACAGTTTTCTATCAGCCTAAAAGCCATAAAAATGGCAACTCACCTTGTGCCATTTCCTTCTTCCAAGTTGCAGCCTCTCTCCAGAACTTGCCTGCTCTGTTGTTTATTCACCAATGCCTTCAGGTAGTTTTTTGTATTTTGGCAAGAGTTCATAGTTGTTTTCCATTGGAAGATCTATCCAGTAGGTACTTAAACACCAGACAGGAGGTGAAACCCTGAGGCAGCAACTTGAAATGAGAAAGCGTAGTTGGGTAGAGAGGATCTTAATCCTATGACAGCCTTTTGTTCAGACTCTAGCCTTAGTAGCTGAGGAGCAGTAGCTTCGATCAGGAAGGAAAATGTACTAACCATATCGTTAAACCTGCAAGTGTGAAGGGCTAATGGATACTGCCGACCACATCTTACCGAAAAGCTTTCCTGAGCTACATTTTTTGCAAGTCATCATGTACATGGTGATGATTCCTCCTTTGCACACTGCCACATTGGAAGGGCTGCCTTTTCCTCAGCCTGTGGTACTTTCTCTGTGAGGACCTGGTACTTTAAAACTCTGCATGGTTGGAATTGAGTGACCAGTGCTCCCCAGATTAGGAAGATTTAGGTCTTGTAGTGGTTACAACACTCATTTCTGAAAGAGCCTTATGTGGAATCAAATTACCAGCCTGGACGCATTGAATGTGGGTACCAGAATTCTGTGTATTGATGACAAAGCTGTTATGAAAGTGTCTTCCCAAGGGCTTCCTGTCCTACCACTCAAGTCTGATTTAGTGCTGAGCTGGAGAGTTCATGCCTGTTGTGAGTGGGCTCTCAGCCCTAATTCAGCGTTTCTTTGTGTCCCAAATCTAAGAGACTAGTTTCTTCCCTTTCTGAGCTTAGTTTTTTTCTTTTATGTAGACCCTAGCCTGTGTCCTGTGTTCCTGCTTAAGAAAGTTGAGAACATCAACAGACTCAGCTTCAGAGGGGGGTGAGGATCAAAAGAGAAAAAGCACTTTTAAAAATCCATCTCAGGGAATGATTGTCATCATCATTTAGTTCTGAGAGAATACTGTCATTGTATATTCAGCAAGTGGGAAAAGTATTAGAATCTAAATAATGCATCTAGAACAATCTCCTCTGCCTCGATGAGAATAAATCTCTCTACTTGAGGGGTAACAGACAAGGCTCTGACCATAGCCAACAGCCTGATATTTCACTTGTGCTCCCAGGAGGCCAGGCAATAGCCAGGATGGATAGACCTGAACAGAATAAATGTGTGGCTTGGATTTTGATGACTCTTGGAACTTGGCTCTAACACCTTAATTTATGCCAGACAAAGGCTCCAGGGAATTTTTTTTAATGTGTTGCCCAGAGGGAAGCACAAAGGGAAGTTTGCCTCTCTACTTACAGGTTCCTGGCAGCAGTCTTTCTCACGGAAACATGGAGAAGTTGTTCCAGGATCCTTGGCAGGGCAAAGGCAGACCTTGGCAAGTTCTTCGGCTTCAACTGTCATCGACATTGTGCGCGTTTGAGCACTTGCCCTTTGATAGTGTGCTTGTTTGTGGTCCTTTGTACAAGTCAGAATCTCTGACTCAGCGCCTGCTCCGCTATTCGGCCTTGCCATCTTCCCTCCAGTTCAGTTGCCACCTGCTTTCTGCGCTCATCCGTAAATAAGACAGGTTTGATTTTGTATTCCTTCTACCTTTATTGAGTATGATCTCATGTGAAGGGCTCCACAGTTACTATTCCTTTCCTCGTGCAGTTCCAATCCCAATTACTTGCATAGACTATAATTTTGTTGTTGGTATCGCCGAGGTATAAAGGGAACCAAAAGCCCCTTGGACAGCTTTAGATAGTACTTTCCTGGACCTGAGATACAATGAAGCTGTGATAGTATGTATTCATGGCCATTTAAGCTAAAGATTTCAAAGATTTACAAATCAATGTCAATATACTCAAGGGGAGCATAGCTATGGCATCCTTCACATAAAACTATGTCAATCTGGACAGACCCTGTACTTTTTAAAAGCAATGTATTGAAGGCCATGGCCATAGTCATTTGACATTTTGAAAAGAAAGCCAGGAAGAGAGTGCAGAGCTCCTGACCTCCTGTCGTCTGTAACTGCTCTTTATAACCTCTTCCCTCCCTTCCCTGAGTCCATGTCCCATGGAGGCTATTGTTCTCACTAACTGCCTGTGTGGGTAGGGAAAAGGCCATTTGCAAAGGAAAAAGCAGCATGTTTGGTCATAACAGAGCTGGTTACGAGAGCATCTGTGGAGGCTGGGAATGTGCAGTGCTTTCTGCCGAGAGCACAGATAATTTAGACTGTGGGTGTGGTCAGTGGCTTGAGGAATGCTGGGACTTTGAGTCTCTGGCTAGCTGTAACTTCCTGGTGTATTGCAGCCCCTGAGAATTTCCAGCGCAGCACAGGGAATGCAGGATAGTGGCTGCAAAAGCAGAAGACCTAGTTCTCAGTTTTGTTTCACCTTCTCGTGGTTCCCACAAATAGCTAATGTCCCTGTATCTCAAATCTTTAGGGGAAAGATCAGTAGTACTCACTAAAGATCACTGAACTCGGATTCAGAACATCTGGCCTTCTAATTTTGACTGCCATTAAATGTAGACAGGTCAAATAGTTTTTCAGAGCTCCAGTTTCTTCAACTGTGGAACGAAATGTTGGATTTAATCAGGGTTTGCAAATGTTAATGTGTGGTTGGATTCTGCATATCTAAAGTGGGTAGCTACTACTTGGCTTTGGCTGATTCTTGTTCAAAGGACATGATGTGGCCAGATCTTTTTTTTTTTTAAGATGAGCAAAATCTATTTTTATGCTAAATCTTCAGGTTTTTAAATATTAATTAAAAAGATAACCAAAGGGAGGCAAATAAAGCATCTGTGGCTACTTTTGGTCTGTAGTCTATTAGTTTACAACCTCTGAACTAGATATACAAGGTTGTTATCTAACTTCAAGACTGCCTGTGAAAAGGATTGGTAGGATGGGTAACAGCTATCAGTGCTTTCAAGTTCAGTTGCTGCGTGGACCCCAATTCTTTGGAAATGTCTGCTTGGCTGGCTCTCATTTTGGAGCTCAGCAGGGACTAAGTATGCTGAAGGACAGCCATGCTGTGATGGCTCATACCCCGGGCCCCCTTAAAACTTGGCCTTGAGGACCCAAATCTCAATCACCTTGACCAACAATCTTGATTTTCTATACTCAGGCTCACAGACTGGTGATGACTCAATAGGCCACAAATTCATTTGCCCTTTGTGGAAAGTTACTGCTCTTTTTCTCCATTACATCCAAATATCAAGGCATCAGGCATGCTTCAATTCTCTGGTTCTCAGTGTAGAGTGGCATCAAGACTCTTGGTGGCCTTTAA